GGTCTGAGATGGAGCTCTTGGGATTTCGCAGTTTCTCTTAGCATTGCATGGTGAGCTGAGCTCAGGTGAATTTCTGGGACTTGAACCATCTTTAATTTTCCAACTTGTGAATGATATTTCTTACTGTAGATTATTCTAAGATAATACTGTAAACTATTTCATAACCTAGATAATTATGCATGGGCTACAAAAATGATGTAGTGGGAATATGATATTGTAGCAGCTCCGTGTGTAGCACAGTGAGAAGCATGTTTGTGTTCTTTGCTGATGTTCTAATGATGTTTGATTCCTTGGAAAGTGATTCTGTCACTACTTAAAGTGTGCTTGTAGCCGTAAAGCAAAGTGATCCACCCACGATGCAGCAGTGTGGCCATGTATGCAGAATACATTTAACATTAAGCATGAAATAAACTCTAAGGTCTGTCGCAGTCGTGTAAGAACCGTGTTGCAGTCCTGACAGCACATATGTATGTGGGGGACATGTAAGAACAGAGATGTGCTGAGCATGTGGAGCCTACTCCTCCGTGTCTTTTGTTGTTCCTCATAATAAAATGAGTGAAACCATGGCAACAAGTTTCTCCCATAATAAAAACAGCAGATTTATCTTTTGTCCCTTTTTTACTTGTCACACTGCTTTACTGTGACATTTGCAGCCTAGCAATGGCACCTGATGATATCTGAGATGGCAGTAGTTATTATTACTTATTTTAATTCTAAAAATGCAAAAATAAATGGACGGATGGAACGTCACCACATTTCTCCCCGGGTACTCCCACTTCCTCCAACAGTCCAAAGACGTGCAGTTTGTGGGGATAGGTTAACTGATCTAAGTTGCCCAATGGTTGTTTGTGTCTGTGTGTTAGCCCTGCGACAGACTGGCGACCTGTCCAGGGTCTACCCTGCCTCTCACCCTGTGACAGCTCCAGGCTCCAGCGCCCTCCCGACCCTGAAAAGGATAAGCAGAAGCGAATGGATGGATATATGTATATATACATATATATTAGAGGTGGGAATCACCATACATCCCACGATATGATATTATTGCAATTTTTAAAAATATTTTGCGATATTCAGATTCTGTACATAAAGGTAAACTTTATCAATATTCATTTTCTCTAATATCAAAGTCTCACACTCAGTCTTTCTCTCATTTCAGTTTGATTGTTGACAAACTGAACGGTTTGTATTACAGTCTAGTCCAACTTAACTGAATCAACCATCTGGTACAATTATAGCTATTCTGAACTATGCAGTTTATGAAAACTATGCAGCCCCTTCAGCAACTGAAGAATTTGAAAGTAAATTAAAACAAAATATAATTTTACATTAAATAAAAGTTTTAAACTTAATTAAAATAAAACATGTCTTAAATTAAAATAAGTAAACTGTCATGTTTATTGCTGCCAAAAACAAGTTAAACACATTTGGACAGTGAAGGAATGTCAGGATTCTTGCTCAGAAAAAGGATCAACATGCTCTGAAGTCAGAGCACAAAAACCTTTTTGTAACAAAATATTGATTTCTGCTGTCCCTGTATCCATACATTATTAGCAAACAAAATATCACCATGCTACACAGTATCCATTTTTCCCCCACCCCTAATATATATATTAGTGCTGTTAGCGTTAATCTCGTTAAAATGACATTAATGCCATAACCGCATTAACGCGGCAAATTAGCACACATCGCCCTGTGCTGGGGCTACACATGTTAACGAGCTAACCGTGCTAACGAGTTTACGCCGTGCAGCCACATGCTGCTATATATATATTTATATTTGTTAATTTGAGTTTATTACAGTTTAGGTTTTATTTTAGTTTTCCCAGCTTGCCTTGTTTCAACCATCTTTAGTCCAGTGGCTGAAATGAATATTGATTTTCTTTCTATTCACTTTTTATGTGTTTATGTATGCAAGAGAGCGTATAAGTAACTTTTGATTTTAGGATCACAAATAGTTCTTTCAGGTTATATTTGACTATTTAGCATTTGTACATCATCTCTGTCCTTATTGTGTCTTTCTTCATGCCTTCTCCTCCACTACTCTTCCTCCTCTCTCATTTCCACGTCATTGTCTTCCTCTTAAAGCTTTATCTTCTGAACTGAAGTCAGGAGATGAGGCTCTAAAAATAGTATCATTACTACAATGAACTGGCTTGTAGAAGACATCTTGAGGTTTTAATTACTAACTATACTGGTGTGGTTAAAGGTTTCCATACAGTCACAATGGGCATGAATGTCATGGTGATTTGAGGCTTTTAATGATTTCTTTGAGCTCTTCTCTTTCCAGGTAAACACTTTTTATTGTAAGTTATAAAAACAGGATTGATTGGTCAAAAACTTGGGGGAGAACTTTTGGTCTAGCAGAGTCAACATCAAGGTTTTGTACCTTCTGGTGCCAACAACAGTCCAGGCAGATCATCCCCCTCAAACTCCTCAGAGAGGGGGAATTCTCCCTGCTGTTAGTGTCTGAGTGCAACCGTCTATTCTACAAGACATATATGTGTACAATAAAGGATAAAACAGTGACTTTTAGCCAGCATAGTTTGATCCTCATCATCGTCTGCTTGAAAAACAGGCTTTAAAGTTGTCAGTGCAGCATATACGTGTTACTGAGCACAGTGCAGGCCCTGCATTCTTTTACTGATGTTACGACTATCACGGTGTGCAGTGTATTTCATCCCAGTACATCCCTACCAGTGTCACCATGGAAATACAGCTCCTCATATCAATGATGAGTAGCTGACGTGGTCATCAGTTCCACTCCACCTGGTGCCAGTCGTGTTGGTGTTGAGTTTTATTTGGTTATATTTTCTCAGTTGTCTAATGTAAGAGATGTATTGTGTGGACTCTTTCAGTGGCTCCAGAGTGCGATGCTTTACATTCAGCTAATAAGTGAAAGCAGCCTGGAGGAGACAAATACACTGCTTAGTTAACTGTCCCAACAGACTGGGTATAAAGTATTTGCAGGGAAAAACTTGGACATATGAGAGAAAGTGAGTTATGGCTCTATGATTTATGACAGAGGAAGTAAGAAAAGAATTGGCTCGGTTTGTCCCCAGTATACCTTTTTTTGCATTCTTCTGACCAGTGCTTGTGCTAGGTCCTCATCGGGGTCAGAGTTTCTCCAGGACCAGGTCACACTGACTGCTTTGTCCTTTCACATATGTATCTATTGCTATTACGCTGCACGCTCACTCACAGCATGGCTGTTATGTCATTTCTTCTTCGTCTTCTTCTGTTTTACTGGCAGCTGGCAACCCATTTAATTAGAGCAGGTAGTTGTACTGCCCTCTAGTGGAAGAGAATGGAATTGTTCTGCCCGATACCCACACCCATCGCTTAGATTACTAATCAGGTGGAACCAGATAATCTTCCACGGCACACCTGATCATTTCTCACGGCACACCTATGTGCCGCGGTGCAGTGGTTGGGAAACACTGCCTTAGCTGAAGAGGAGCGACTGCGTCAGCCACCGTACCTGTTTTTACTGCTCACCTTGGGTTTCTACTAGGGCTGCACGATTTTGCATAAAATGAGAATCACGATTTTTTGCTTAGAATTGAGATCACGATTTTCTCACGATTTTCTTTTCCAGCATAAATATTTATTGCACTTATTAACTGCACATCAACTTCATAACAGTTGAGACTGAACATAAAAACAATAAATAAACATAAAAACAACAAATGTCTCACGTTTTGTCGTTGCAACAAAATGTTGTACTGCTTGAAATTGCGTCTCCACCGTTGCTCGACGCTGCGTGTATAGAGCAGCTAGTGCAACAATAGAACAATAGTTGCGGGACGGCACTGTGTAGCGTTTGTCTAGGGTGTTGATCATTCTCCTAAATCCCTCGTTTTGCACAGTGTTGATGGAGCCATATCTTTGGTCAGGTGATAAGTAATAGCCTCCGTAATTTCTTTGTGCCTGCGGGAGTTCGACGGGTATGGGGAAGCGCTGTATAAGGTTCCCGTTATTGATGTTTGGGTGGTTGACCGGGACGGATTTTCTCCTGTCACTTTCTCGTCATCCCTGACGTGCTCTCCGTTGTTTTTTCCCTGCCAGGTGGCTTCTGTATCACGTGGTATAAGGCTCCGCCCTCGTCATTTGTTGAGCAGGAAGAGTGAGCGCTTGTTTTCACGCAGATTACGTCCCGGATCAAAATGCGGTACAATTGTCGTCGTCTTTTTTTTTTTTAATCGTTGTCATTTGGAAATGAGGTCGCACATAAGTATGAATTGAGATCGCGATTTTCTAACGATTAATCGTGCAGGCCTAGTTTCTATCACTTTTCACTGGCTCCCTAAGCCACAGTAGTTTTTGTTATGTTCTCTAGTGGCATGATCTTTCATATTTTTCTCCTCATGAAGAGAAATCCCACATCCAGCCCCAAACATGAGTGTCTGCTAACAGGAACTGTGTGTTTAATAAAGTGTGATATTACTCGGTGCCACACACATGTCAGTGATTCAGGTGTTACACTGTTACACTGTTCTTTCATTCCACAAACACACACTGGCTTCTTTTGCATCAGTTACACATTCACCATGCTGCTGCTCACCGGCATCAGTGTCTGAAAATAATAACAAATACAGTATATTTATAATTAATGTTAATGTTGCATTGAAGCTGCCTGACGTAAACAGCTGTTTAGAAAAATCACTTGTTTGAAAAGTTTCCATCCATCCCTGATATAGACGTTTGCTCCAGCTTTTCAGACCTTCTTTCTTTCCTTTCTTTGGCTAATAGTCAACTTTAGAGAGCATCAGAGTTGTGTAGGAAGTGGGCTAGGTCCTGTTTTCAAAAGCATACATATTTGCACATAGACAGGCTTGAGTCCTTTTGTGTATTCAGCAGCTGGAGCCCACTGAGAGAGCACTGGTATCAATAACTGACAAAATAACACCACCCACACTAGCAGCACCCACTCACAGGTAAAGTGCTGCTCCTTTCAGTAATCTGTTTTCTTTCTTTGTGTATGTGGTTCCTATCTCTCCTAGATCACAGTGACAGAGACTGTGCTGTTTCTGGTCCAGTACACGTCCAAGGAGTTTGACCGTTTAGAGAAGACGGTGGCCACCGGAGACTGCTGTTACCTCAACCCGCTGGTACGCAGGACATTCCGCTTCCTCGGTAAGTTTTAGGCGTGTGCATGCTTGTTTCTGTTACTTCACCTGTCAAAGCTGAATGTTTTTCTATAAGTCTGTGAGAAAACTGGCCACATGTGACATTCACATAATAAACTAGTTAGTTGAGTTTGTTGGTCAGGTCCTTTGATCAACAAACTCACTTTTTCCCACTAAATTGAAAAACTAAGATCGACTACAGGAACAGCACTGATGTTTTGGACGCTAGAAACAACTTTTCTTTCACTCAACCTGAACTAATCGTCTCAGTAAAGCTCCACCTGTTTGCTCTTTGCATTGTGTAACTGTGCCAGCGTCATCATTGCTGCTGCTGTTGGGTTATAAGTGTTTCTGATTAAAACTGGATACGTTTGTGTTGCAGGTCGGTTTCTAGTGGCAAATGTGGGTGCGTTTGCATTTCCACAGTGACAGTGGTGCTCTACAGAGCCGTGCCTTAGACGAAGCATTAAAGCAATTAAGCTTATTTTTATTTAATAAAAACACAATTGTCAGAGGAACAACGCAGGAAGTGGAATATTTTGATATGCAAGGAAGTCACCTTGTTTTGTTCCTACTTGTGATGAATATTAAAAATGTAGCACAATAGTGTGTTTTAGTTTTTTTGTGGTTATCTAGCTGTGGTGTGAATAAGGCACGGCGCGTTTCATCTGGTTTAAGTTTCTGGACCTTGAGGGAACAGAGAGGGAACACACACATGTAAAGGAAGCTCTTAAAACATGTTCTTATCCCAACTGGGCTTTCATTAGGTCAGCAACGATGCAAGAAAAGAAGATCAGACACCAGCGAGGGAGGATCAGAAAGACAGACGCAACAACATTGTCATCCCCTATGTAGCCGGTGTATCAGAAAGACTCAGGAGAGTCTTCTCCAAGCACGACATCCCAGTTTACTTCAGACCCAGCAACACACTCACACACAAACTGGTTCATCCCAAAGACAAAACTTCGGGGGACACTTAAAATCTGGGACTCTCCACCATTTGACCTTAGAACTGAAGAAGCTTTTTGGATGAAACTTCAAGTCAAGACGCTTTTTTTCCTTAGATTGTGATGTTCAGTTAAAGCATACTAACGCTAAATTGTTATGAAATAGCATTTGGTATTGTAACTGTTTTAATGTGTTTAGAAGCTCATTGATTACTAACTGAACAGAAGTGCAGATGTTTATTCTGTTTATAGCTCAGTTTGAGTGAAGTGGCAATAAGTTTTAGGCCTCACAGCACCCGAACCTTGAAACAGATCTGCAACGAATACTACGATTCAGGTTTCCTTCTTCTCCAAATAAATATCTGATGAGGAACACGTTTTGTGTGAGTTACAGTTGTGGTGGTCCTTAATAATCTAATTAGAGGGTATTAGTATACATATAGTAGTAGTAAAATGAACCCAGGCCCAGTATCATTGTACTATACACGCTAGCTTTTACCATAGCTACGTGGGACCTGGGTTACATGTGCATCAGTGAATCGATGTCTTGTTCAGCCTTGTTCTTGTTGCATAAAGCTTGATGTCATCTATGTAGAGAAGGTGGCCGACAATTCCTCCCCTCCGTAGTCGATATCTGTAGCCAGTCATATCGTGGAGAAAAATGGAGAACAGCAGTGGGGACAGAGCATCTCCTTGGTAGATCCTGCACTGTTATAAGCTTGAAGTTGGCCTCCAGTGTTGTTAGCCACATCCCCATTGAGTTCCTGATTATCTTTAATAGTTCTAGGCGTTCCAGGATCCAGGGGTGGGGCATAGAGTCAAAGGCTTTCTTGTCCGGGTAGTGCACAAGTTGGTAAGTCTGGTCCGTCCACCAGTAGCTGGTGTTTCACTCCTTTGGTATTCTTGCCAATTCAAAGTCAAAGTCAGCTTTATGACATTGCAGTACACTCACAGCCTCCAGTGTTACACTAAAATAACATAAAAAATAAAAAGGATAAAAATCTTACAAAAACAACAGAGTCCAACACAATCCGAGTTTTTTGGGCAAGAGTTTGTGTGGAAGTGGGTTGGGGGAATCAGTGAAAAGTGATGGTGGGGTTCAGAGTTTTGTATGTCTTGGGGGGAGGAGCTTCAGAGGGAAAAGGTCTGGAGTTTGTGTGTGTGAGAGTCGAGCAGGAAGAACATTTCAGCCTCCTGACAGCCTGATGGACGAAGCTATCTCTCATTCTGCTGGTTCTAGCCCTCCAGTCTCCTTTCTGATGGCAGCAACCTGAAAAAGCTGTTGGATGAGTGGATCACCTGTAATGCTTTTCCAGTGAGGCTCATGCAGTAGCTGTTGTGGAGGGAGAGAAAACAAACACTCACAATCCTCTCCACTGCTCTCACTAATCGTTGTAGCTTTTTCCGGCAGGGCCCATTGCAACAGCCATACCACACAGTGATGCAGCTGGTGAGGATACTCTCAACGGTGCCTCTGTAGAAGGTGTTCATAATCAATCAATATCAATCAATATTTTATTTCTATAGCACATTTAAAAAGGGCAGTGTCCATCAGAGTGCTTCAAACTAGGTAGCAAAGCAGATTACAACAAAGGCAACAAAAACAGTTAAAAATAATTAAAACCAGTTACAGTGACAGCACGACTGCAGACTGGGAGGAAGTCCGAACTAATTCAAAAGCTGGATGGAACAGGTGAGTTTTTAAACGTGATTTAAATGATTGAATGGATTCTGACATGCACACATCGATTGGAAGATTATTCCAGAGTTTAGGTGCAGCAAACGCTCGGTCCCTCCAGTCTTTCGTCAGGGTTTGGTTGCAGTAAGATCAGTTGGTTAGAGGATCAGAGCGCTCTCTTGGGGCTATACACGTCAAGAATGTCTGTTAGGTAACTGGGCGCCAAGTTATTTAAAATGTTAAAAGTATACAGAAGGATTTTAAAAACGATGCGGTATTTAACAGGGAGCCAGTGTAGATTGCCTAGAACTGGGGTGATGTGATCATGCCTTCTGGTGCCAGTTAAGAGGCATGCTGTGGCATTTTGAACTGAAAAATGCTGGAAAAGAGAGAATTGGAGGCCCATGTACAGAGAATTGCAATAGTCTAGTCTCGAAGTAATGAAGGCATGGATAAGCTTTTCAAGGTCTTTATGTGGAATATAGGGCTTTGCCTTGGAGATTTCACGTAGCTGGTAAAAACTCGTTTTCACAACTGAGACAACTTGTTTGTCTAACTTGAGTGAGCTGTCCAGGACCACTCCAAGATTTCTAAGAGAGAAGGCTAGCATAGGATCCCAGTGTATTAGTTAGCTGGTCCAGGGGAGTGGGACTGTCAAAAACAATACTTTCTGTTTTATTTTCATTTAGAGTTAGAGAGTTTTGTAATGGCCAATCTTTAACTTCCCGCAGACAACTGAACAAAGGCACTAATGAGGACTGGACATCCCGATTCAGGGGGAAGTAGATTTGGATGTCATCGGCATAGCAGTGAAACGAGATATTATGCTTTTTGAAAAGAACTCCCAAGGGCAGCATGTATAAAGAAAATAATGTATGAGATAGCACCCTGAGGCTCACCACAATGGAAAGGGGCAGAAGAGGAGGAGTATTTCCCCATTGTGACAGAGAAAGACCTCTTGGATAAGTATGATTTAAACCATGAAAGGACATTATCTTTAAGTCCAACTACATGTTCTAGCCTTGCCAGGAGAATATTGTGATCAACCGTAGGGCTGTGCGATTAGACCAAAGTCTCATTTCCCGATATAAGACATCTATCGTCCCGATAACGATATAAATCACAAAAATTTAACATTTTCTGTAAATTCTGTGAATCTCGGGCAGATTGACTTCCATGAAGTGTTTCCAGCTGGGCGTCGTGTAGCTGGAGTCAAGTGTTTTAACCGATGCATGAAACAATACATTTTTAGACATAAGTTGTAACGGCCGTCGTTTTCTTTGTGAGTATTTATTACACAGCGTGCTGCGGGGAAAAGCCTGTTCTAACGTTTGAGTCTAAGGTTGATTTTTTAGCACCCGATGGCTCTTTTTTACTTCTCATCCATAAATACTCTCCATACTCTTTCATGGGATTTAGTTTATTTTGAAAAGTCTCAACAGGATTTTGAGCTTTATTGTGAAAGGTATGCAAAACAAACAAGCAGACGGCGGAGCCACGCCATTGTTTTACCGTCTTGGTTGCTAACGACAACGCGTAAAAACAGTCGCTTGTCCGTCCGTAGTGTGGTAAATATAAGAGAAAGAGAGAACTTTAAGAAATTAATATAGCCACTACAGTGACATCAGAACATGAAAAAATATTGCCGTAAACAGTTTATTTTGCGACACCACAAAACAAATGATAGCGTAAAATGAAACAATAGACGTTTTTATATTGTCATCTGATATATATCGTTATATCAAACAGCCCTAATCAACCGTATCGTTAAGTCTAATAAAACGCCCTGAATCAGCAGTTAAAAGGAGGTCATTAAAAACTCTTAATAGCGCTGTCTCGGTGCTGTGGCGTGGTTTAAACCCAGATTGGAATTTCTCGCTGATTCCATTAGTCTCTAACAAGGTCAGCAACTGATGAAGGACTATTTTTTCCAAGATTTTCCAATAATGGCGGTTGAGGCTGTGATGCTGTGTTCTTTGACCAGGAGAGATCTTCTGAGATGTGCACACACAGGAACTTTGTGCTGCTTACCCTCTCCACAGCAGCACTATTGATGGTTAGTGGGGTGTGCAGGGTGTGAGTTCTCCTGAGGTCTCCTTAGTCTTCTCCACATTCAGGGAAAGGTTGTTGTTGCTGCACCACTCAGCCAGATGGTAAACTTCACTCCTCTATGTCTCATCGTTGTTGCTGATGTGACACAGCTGTGTCATCTGCCAACTTCATGCAGCTGTGTGATGGTGTGCAGTTGAGAAGGGGGCTCAACATACATCATTGGGAGTCCACTTATTCAGTGTTCTTGAGCTAAAGGTGTTGCTGCCGACCCGTACTATTTGCTGTCTTCCTGTCAGGAAATCCAGCAGCCAGTTACACAGCGAGGTGCTG